AAAGGCGCATGGCCACGGTGTTTGCACGGGTCCACAAGGCAAAGGCGAATACACTGGAGCCTGGCACTACGGTTTCGAGGTTTGTTTCCGTCTAAAAAATTACAGCTGAGAATTACTCTGATGATCAGGTGTGCAGCATGAGGGTAGCTGCTGAGAAGCACATTCAATTAACAGTCGTGTTAACCAAGTAAACCAGCAAAAGCATTTATTCAACCAAAAAATAAACACTCGATAAAATACAGAGCTTCCCACAGTCATCATATTTCTCTACATAAAACGCCAAAACACAAAAGAACGAAATACGAAGCACGGCCGCTCTCGGCTATGCTACATTGCTGCGGCGTTCTTCCTGGCAGCAACACCGACGATTTTGACGCAACACTGTTATTTTACTGATTCATTTTCCCTTATATAGGTATATTACGTAGGTGTCGCTTACTCGTTCAGTTATTCTGTACGCATTTCAAACTAATCTTACTCCAATTGTAAGATTAGTTTGAAATGCATACAGTTCAGATTCTATCAATTTTTAAAATCAGCTGAGGTGCATCCCTGTCTTAGGGTTGCGACTTTGGGATAGAAAAGTAAATTTTGTGCGTTTTTTAAGTACTTGACTTGACAGGCTGTAAATATTGAAGGTATCGGGCGTCTATACATGGCCATCTGGAAACACATACCAAGGTCAGTGGCAGAATGGCAAACGTCACGGACTGGGAGTGGAGCAACGTGGCCGATGGGTGTATAAGGGCGAATGGACTCAGGGCTACAAGGGCAGATATGGACAGCGACAGTCGATGACTTCACAAGCCAGGTATCAGGGCACCTGGTCTGCTGGCTTTCATGACGGCTACGGTACCGAGACATACGTCGACGGAGGTATACATAAACCGATCTGCATTATCTATGTTTTCTTGTCATGTCTGAAAGAGCAAAATATGAAATGAACATCTAAATTAGTAACTGCTTGCAAGTTCTCAAAGGTGCGATCATAAGCTTTAGCTTTATGAGTAGATTGTACTGAAGATTCTCACTCCTAATCATAAAAATCGCTCCGTCTGTTTTTGTCGTTACTGGATGAAACACTGTTGCTTTTTACTGGAATATTAGCTTGAGTATGCAACCTTGGATCAAAGGGCCTGGCTTGGCTGCGCTCGGTGTATAGATGCATCACTAATGCAGCATACTCACACTGATAGTCTGGATGGTTTGGTACTCTTGGTGTGACATTATTATACTTCCCGCATCCACGCCCATCCATACATTTAAATGGCTGGTTTAGCTGTTATTTTAACTGCGGGGTATAATGGCCTGGGCCGAATGTTTCTGTGCGCGTGTGG